ACTCCTCCATCAGCTTTTGTTGCTATTTGTTTGTCCTGCCATGTGCGATTATATTTGTTTTGTGAATATTTTGATGATGTGAAATAAACTGAACTGAACTGGCAAGTAAATAGTTCCTCTGCTATGTAGTTTTATCTTGGCAAGTGATGTTTGAACAGATTGTTCTGTATGTCTATTAATTCTGTAGGTTGATGATAGAATGCCTCATCTATATGTCTTTACCTAGGGATTTTTAATTTTTACCCAAAATATTTTGTATTTTATACTTAGTTCACCTGAATGAGTTATACTCTATTTGTTTTTTCCAAGATTTTCAAAAACATTATGTATTATATGATATATTCTGTATAAAGCAATTTGTAAATTATTCAACTTCTTTTGTTTAGTTGGTCTTATTATTAAACAAAATTATGAATGCAATACAGGATCTGGATTATGCAATGACCTTTTAAAAATATATCACAAAGCAATGAAGAAAGATTAAAAGGATAATTGAAGGGAAATTGAAATTAAAATATTAAAAAACAGAGGTATATTATATCAATAATATTTCTGTAGTAAAAATATAAATGATTATCTTATTATGTAAACAAACTTTCAATTAATATCAATATTATGTAATTTTATGCTTATTTCAATAATTAATTTTTTTTTATTCATAAAATGGAAATTAAAAGTAAAATATTAAAAAACATAGGTATATTGTATCATCTTTCATCCTTTCTACCTTTTATGTAATAAATATGTCTTATGTAAATTTATTGCTCTCTTCCTTTTATTAGTTATCAATAATATCGTATCAATAATATCATTGTGACTATGTAGTCTGTAGTCTTCGCCTCGAAACTTACTTCTTGCTAGTAAGACTCATTGACGAGCTCAGCAAAAGACAGTTCTGATGATGACAACTATAAAAATTTAATTGTGCTTCAATTTCAACAATAATATATTTAATTGTTCGTGTATGATAAATTGTGCTAGTCCCAAAATATTAGCATATGGTCTGTAAGATAATAAAATAAATCATATAACCTGTTACTATTTTCAAGTTATTATAATGTATCTCTTCTTCAGTTGTTGAAAAATATTACATAATTGTTTTATAATTTTGGCATTGTGCAAAATGAATGAGTTAGATTTACCTGAAAACGGAATTCAGGTTGGACAAATTTTTCAGTGGCTGATATTTCAACAGGTGGCTGGATCTCAATAACTGGTATTTCATACGATGGTACTTTCATCTCTTCAAGAGTTGGTTTTGATTCTTCTAGTTTAGGGAGCTCATCATGCTTTTCTATGAAAAAAATATATATACAAACTTTCAATTTGTGTACATCAGAATTAAAGTTAATTGATTACTCACTACAAAAGTAATTGTTACCATCCGAAATATTCACAGAACCCAAAATTCACAGATGCAAAGACACGGAAAAAAGAAGAAAAATACAGTAATTGAAAAACAGAGATGAAAAAGAAACGAAAATGATTTTGATTCATACTAACAGTAACTTCCATTTTTGTTTCATGATAGAATACACCTTAAATTAAAAGGACACTTTTCCATGAAATGAGGGGATATATAACACTTTGGCAAAAACTTATAAGGGAACGGGAACACTTTCTGAGTGGTCCAAAATGTCAAATTTAAAATGTCATATTCAACCTGAATACTGTAGCTCTATGGCATGTGTTACTTTGTTGAATGAACCAATCATCAATTTTGACCCTTGAAATTTATTTGTTTTTTCTTTTGTTATGAACCTTCATCTCAAAATACTGTAAGATTAAAACATGATGATGCCAATACATCATCATGTGTACATATCATTTTGTGTGAATTTCTTTATCATTGTACATAGCTAAATATTCATGTTCTTGATTTCTTATAATATTGTAATTAATTGTCATAAGAAAACCAATTTTCATTACTTAATTATGACAGTAAATTTTATCTGAATGTTAACTTGAATTGCAGTCAGCACAATGTAGGCTTGTATGAGGATTGAAAAAGAAAATTAATATTGTCATATAATTAGGGTCTGCTGCAATAGCTAAAACAATACAAAAATATAGTGCACAACTTAAAGTATTAGATATCAGTTATTAAGTTACTGTGTGAAAAGAAATTAATTATCACAATTTTTTTTTATCTGCTTGTGCTTTCAAACATACCTGTTTCTTTGGCCTATGTACATAGCCAAGGAAGCATCTTTGTTATTAAAAAAGAATTTAACTTTAAAATTTCAATCCAATTGCCTTTATATTATTTTAAAAATGTCTTACCTTTTGCTTTTAGGTTACTTAGTGCAGCTTTGTATTCAGTTTCATCGATGCATGTCATCCATTCATCTAAGAACTCCTGCTGATGTTTCTCTGGGACTAATATTCCCGCTAAATCTTTAATAAGCTTCCCACTAGAATGTACTTCCCACAGATTCATCAAAGCATTAGGATTATTTGCTATTAGATAAAATACTACTGATCCTTTACCGACCTTGGTCAATTTTAAACCATAACGTTCATAATAGATGATGAGGTTCTCAAATTTTTCATAAAATTCTGGTATATCATCAAAATCCAGACAGTTTTTATGTTCATCAAGGTCATTTAACAAATCAAGAGCATACTTTCGATATGGTTGATCGTCAGAGTCAGAAGGACCTCTTTTGCGCTTATAAATTTTCACAGCAATACCTTTAAAATAGAAAAAAAAAGATAAGTAAAGAAATCTTCAAAATGTTATTCATAAAATAGTCATTAATAAATCCAGCATCCACTTAAAATGGTCAGCTAGCCTCATAACAAAAATCAGGGATCAGGGAGAAAGACCACAATTTGTTGGAGAGGAAAAAAAAATGTATTGTCTACATATTAGTAGACTCTAAAATCGATTAAATAAGCCTTTAAAACCCCCTAAATTATCAAAATTTTTCGGGACTTTGTCCCTTGGACCACTTTCAAAACCTTTTAAGCAACACTCGACCACGTCCACTTTGCTCTAACCCTCTTCATTGGGGATATCTGCTGATTATATTTTAAGTGCCCTTGGATGGAGTAGACTAAATGTGATTTGGAATGAAAAAAATTACTTATTATGACTTTTAAATGCATAAAAGGATATGCTCCTCAATATTTGTCTTCAAAATTTTAATACCTTTAACAATATTATCCATTCTAAAGGTAGATGTAGCCAAACCCATAACAACCTGGTTCTTCCAATGTATCACATCGGGCAGGAAAAAATGGGAAAAAGAACATTTTTATATCGATTATCCAAAAGCTGAAATGAACTACCACAAAAATTAAAAATTAATTTCAAAGAGATATCAACTTTTTTTCTATTTCAAAATCATTTAAAATAATGTTTTTAATTTTAATTTTATTTTATTCATTGTACTTTTTTTTAAATTTCCAAATAATTTAAAATAATGTTTTTAAATTTTTTTAAATTTTATTAATTGCTATTACACAGTATACAGTATATGTTTCTCATCACTGTACCACTTTGAAAATCAGTACTATAGCACTGAAAGTGCCTACAGTATAAAGAAAGGTTCAATAAATAAATACATTATATTAAATGCTTATAATTCGATGGAGTAATAAACCCTAACAAAATCAACCCAGATCAACCTTGGAAATAAAAAAATAGTGACATTCTGCTTTAAATAAGGGATCAGAAATAGGGTGTCTTTTGTAAACTATGAATTGTCAAATTACCAATTTGCCTTTACTGTTTACTTTGTTCAATTTTGCAACTTTCAGACAAAGATATTTGAAATTACATTATATTATTATTGTGTATTCCTTTTTGAAAAGTACTTTTACCAATGATCGGTGGGAAGGAACAACAGTAGGTTTTCAAGCCAATGATGACAGGTGGCGTTTTCAATTACTTACAATCTCCGCAACAAAATTGCCAAAGGGTCGCACTCTTTCCACCTGTGGTCTACTTCATCATAATTACTGACACTACATTATTCTGGTTTTATTGAAACACTTCAATATTATGGCAACATAATGTGAATTGCAAAAATGTCAATGGGCGTATTCGACTGCTTCATTTCGTTGACTACGAATTTTCGTTGAGTATTATTTTTATTCGACCGGTTCATAAAATAGTCTTCGTTGGCAACGAAAATTAACGTAAACCAGAGTATGTTAAGTTATTCATGTGACCAAAACAAACATGGCCGATTGGTCAGTTTAGAAACAACGTTTGCGTTAATATAATTTAGATTAAATTTTAGAAAATAAAAATTATAATATTTACACACATGATGTCAAAAAATAATTCCAAAACTGGATGAAAATATTTTTTTTTTTTACGAAAAACCCATACTGCCACAAGCTGAAGCAATCTTGATTACACAGCGTGTATCGCAATAACTATGCAGCCATTTTGTTTTGTTGAGTATTTACAAGTTTTCTATTTGACTGGTCGTCTTCGTTAAGTAGGATTTTACCGTTGCGCAGATGGGCGTGTAGGTCATGACCCACAGTTTGCGGAACGCTGTACTATAGTATAAATTTAAATTATTTTGTTGTTTGTTTTATTTCAAATTTACGTCTTCATATGTATATCTTTACCTTCACCACATCCAGATTCAATGTTTGAAGTTGCATTTGGAATGTCTGAAATAGAAAGTCAAATGAATATAAATACAATACAAATTCTAAAAATGTAGACAATTCAAAAGCAAATGATATCACCACTGGTGCTAGAAAGCACTGTAGTACACAAAAACATATTGATTTAAATTATTGTATATTTTCAGATAATATTTCAGCTGTTTCAAGATTCATTCCTATTTTTTCTTCTTCCTGGTCAAATTATTTTATTGATAATATACTAAAAATTAATAAACATAGGGCCAAATAAATAAAACTAGGTTTAAAGAAACTGACTTTAACATGGTATGCAATGTATACTCAGTTTAACACTTCAATATTAGTGTATTCAAAGCCGAAGCTCCCTGGTCTCATGTCAAACTAGGCCACTCCAGATAGACTCTCTTTATAGAAAGGCAGAAAAGCTTCTACAAATGGATGTCTTATTGTGAAGCAGGAAATCAAGTTGTACCTCCCCAGTACTGCTTGATTATAAACCATCGATAAAATCAGAAAAAAAAAGTAGAAAACTGGGTAACGACAAATTGTAGCCAATGGTGTCACCACTAGCGGACAGGGAAGCAGATCCTCAACAAGGTTTGGAGGACAGTCATCAAAACTTTTATTCACTCCTTTGGAATCTTTAACTTAGATGAGTCATTAATCTGTCTACAAAATAACTTTACCAATACTAAAAATAGTAGATGGGTCTATTGATGAGCAGTAAAACATGCATTCCTACCCATATGGTTCCTTTCTATTCAAGGTATCAGGTATAATATGTTAAGTACTGTACAAAGTAAATGTTTAATAACATTTTCCAACATACTTGATTAAATTGGATTATAGAAACAAAACAATAAATGTTTTGTCTTTACATATTTTTAATTTTCTGTATTTAAATCTTATATGGTTTAATCATTCTTAACATTGCAATGAATGTATTCTATTTTCCCTAGAATTTCCAAATGAAAAATAATGTAAATCTTGAATTGACAGAATTCACATCAACCACAATACAATAATAAAAGTAAGAATTGTAAAAAAAGGAAAAAGGAAGACCTGAGAAGACAAGTGAACAAATCTTGTGTCGGGACAGCATAACAAAAAAGATATAATAGAAAAAAAAAGAACAAGACGAGAAAACACATAAACCAACAGAAAACCTTTTTTTCAAGTTTCATAAAAAATCTAAAAAAAAACTTTCAATAATGTTTCAACCATGTGCGCAGATCCTGGGGGGATGGGGACACGTTTCCCCACATATTTTTTAGGGGGTTTGGTCCCCCACATTTCACCTCAATGTAATTTCATGAACTGCATAAATGACCCAGGTTTTAACGAAAAAGGTAGCACAGCCTGAGAACATTACTGTACATCCTACATTATAGCAAGATACCGGTATCACTAACGTCTGAATTACCTATAATACATGACTCAAGTGTGCAAGCTTTTGTTATAATTTGAGAAGTATGAGAAAAGTATAAGATTTTCAGCACACAAAGAAGGTAAAGTACAGTAAATATGATAGGATGCAATACAGAATAATTAGATCCCTATGACAGCCAAAAATCGCTGATAAAAAATCATGAGAAATTTGTTGGCACTTCATTTTGACTATAATGGTGATGTGATGATTACAAATTTTATTACATAAGAGTGTCATTTCCAGCCATCTAGAGGTACTATTCCCCCAGATTTTCGCACCTCATTCCCAACCATGGTGGGGCTGAGATGGGTGTGACTCCTTGCAGTAGGTAAAGTAAAGTAAATACATCAAAGACAATTTTTTTAACTTTTATTTTCTGTGCTGGGGCAGCATCAGGGAGATGCATACAGTGTGATCACACCCCTAAATTGTACTAAGAAAAATAATTCTTGTATTGTATTGTTGATATATTATTTTCATCATTATGAACATAGTACAGGTAGGAGTGCAAATTCTGGGTACCATGATATTATTTAATGTGTTACAATTTTCTTGTCACGACTCTTTACACCCCTCAGAATTTTTGACAACCCAAAAGTTTGTCACAACCCTGATATTGAATCCAATCCAACAGGCCCGTAGCCAGGGGGGTTTTTAGGGGTTCGGACGAACCCCCCTTTTTCAGCGAACCCCCCTTTTGCCAGCGAACCCCCTTAACCAGAAAACGATCCCCCGTTTCCAAAATAGTGCAACTTATTACAAAATGGGAGCATTTTTGGCACTGTTTATTTGTCGCTATCGATCGTAGTCTGATCGTAGAAATCAAAACAAAGCTGCAGCCAGCTGAATGACGTAACCAGCAAGACTTCAAAATAAATATTAATGAGAGGTTTGTTGCCGAGGCTATTTGACCAATCGCGTGCTCCGGAGTTTATTTACTTTGGCACGACGTCATCACAAAAGTTTGGGCGCTGGACATTTTTCTTTTCTCTGGGATCGAGGACATGCGACACGCCAAAAATAGCCTAGGAGTATGAAGCGCCAAGAAAGGATAACCGATTTTTTTGCTTCAAGGCCAGCAACGAAGAAATCACGAAATTTAAGAAGTTAGAAAATTCACCCTTGTTTTCACCACATGCTCATGATACTGCCTGGCGGCAGGACCGGTGTACTTTTTCGGGCTAGGCCTAGGCCATAGGTCTAGCGTTGCTAGGTAGGGTAGGGTCGTAGCCTATGAGGCCTATTATTTGGGAACGATTTTATTATTTATTTTGTAATCGAGCAAGCATAGGCCAGGGCCTAGGCCAGCTAGGCTTGCAAGGAAATATACTTGGTAATATTTTCACGTTTCATCAGAATTAACTGACATTATTCATAATAATATATTTATTATTTTTTCTCAATATATCTCATTTAAACCAAGACAGCTCTTAAATTATTGTTTATTTTCACTGTGCTAAGTTTTTTTACATAAACTGGTTCTTAAACATGTACATTTGTAGCATTATAATTATGTCTGTTTTTTTTTCTTCAATATTACTGTGCAAGTATATTTACATAAATGGTTCTGTAACTTGTAAATATAATAACATTTTTCCTTGCCCTAATTATATATATTTCCATTGGAACTTAACATTTAAGTTATTTTGGTAAAAAAGTAAAATGTAGGGCAGTCAGTTCCTATTGTTTCTTCATTTCTGCAATAAATAAAATATTATTTATATTTTTAGAGATAACATTACATAGTAGCATTAAAATGTTAAGCATTGCTTTTTAATAAAAAAAAAAAGTTTGTTTCACAATAAACATTTACGTTCTAAATCCTGTATTGGAAAAAGTAGTCTTCTTTTCTTATTTTTAAAATTGTGTAAGAAGTATTTAAATATACATGAACATGCATTTAAATGACATGTACATGCTTTTAAAATCGCATAAATGCTCTGGCTTCGGGGGCTTCGCCCCTGGCCCCCACAGGAGCTTAGCCCCCTTGACCCCACCTGGGGCCCTTTGGCGGGCCCTGGACCCCACGCCCAGAACCCCCCCTTGAAGCATGCTGGCTACGGGCCTGTTAAAACATTAATATTTAACGATTTGGTGCTGGTTTCTGCCTAAGAAATGCCTGAAATCGTAAATTTGAAGACTGATTCCTCAAATATTGTTCTTTAAACAGCTGTATGTTTAAACTCCTGTAACTTCATAACGAAATGTGAGATTCTTTTACCATTTTATAGCTCTCATTTTACTGCTTAACTCTGTATTAATAACTAAAAATTGATTTTGCGATGAGTGACTGGTTTGGCTTGGCTTGTCTTTGCCACAATTATTATATTTTACAGGCACACAGTATATTAACCATATTACTATACTTACTTGGAGTCGAAGAGCGACCTGCAGTTACTCTGAAAGTTGTGAATGCTATCCCCCAGACTGCCACTCATAGGTACTGCATTTCACCGGTGTTGAAGGTAATTCAGTCGCTAGGAGCAAACACTGATATGTACGCTGTGTCAATAAGGTTGCTGACAGTTTTATGGAAACTACAGGTAGGCTTAGCACAATTTTTTATATTAATGTCAATTAATGAGAGTCTGAGCTATCAAGGCGCTTTTTTCCCTGGTACAGAATCATTCGTACATAATGTACAATCTCCTCTAGCAATACTATTTCATTTTGAATCATTCGCCTTCTACCAGGTACCCCATTTTTTTACTTCTGGGTGAAGAGAGGCAAAATCAGACTAAGTTTCTTGCCCAAGGACACAAGCAGATAGTTGAGCATCCTTCTCGAACCACCTGCCTTCCGATTGAAAGCACAGTGCCTTACATGCTGCGCCACACTGATTTTTCACTATGCTTGAAGTAAAGCATAGGAAAGACAGCATACACCAGAAAGTGTTTCTGAAATACAGTGAAAATGAGCAGGAAAATATTTGAGAATCATCTAATTTCCTCTGCCAGCACCTCTTACCCTACTATCATGCAGCCAATTCTACCTAAGTGATCAGTTTCGGTGACAAATAAAATGCTGATACACTTCTATAATGGTGACAGCACCAGTCATCAATCATCTGATGATTGATGACTGGTGCAGAATCTCCTAATCAGGTTTGGTGATGGCATCATGAATGGTGATGTCACTGAAACTGATACTTTTCAGATCTATTAGGTAAAATCGGGTCAGAACCCATAGGTATACTCTGGAGGCAGGTATCTTATTCTTAATCCACCAAGCCACAGATCCACATTATCCATTAATTTCATTGTCTTTTATTAGGATCGTTGTTTTCCTCATCTTCAAAAGATGATAAACCTTGAGAAACATCAAGAAACTCAGTGCAAACCTTTCGAGTATAATGAAGAGTTACTGGCAAAGACAGCATCCATCAAAGACATATGCAAAACAAGGTATATTTATGCATAGATTTTAAATGTAGCGATATGCCGTAAAGTTTTTTTTCAAACTTATTTTCTTCTCCGTTCAGACACTTTTATTTACTTATTTTTCCCCTTCTCAGTCAGTTGAGCGTAGCGGTATTGATGTACTCTCACAAAATCACGATTATCTCAGCTTCTTTGTGCGAAATTGCGTAAATTTCCAAAAGTGAGTCATTTTCATTTTACTGTTATGAGTCACTGATTGTGATTAGAATAAAGTGTTCGGTACCATTGTAAAGCTAAGATGTTATAGTTCTTCTAGTATTCATTACATGTCAATCTGATCACATACGCACTCTCAACAAGCTTCGGAAAAGTGTTAAAATTTGCTAAAATATCTGGAGGTGGCTGATACTATTTTTTCAATAACCCCTGGCAGTCAGAGTGTTAAGCTTACTAAAATGTGTCTGGAAAAACAATAAACAAACAATTTTATATTCTGCTACATATACAATAGTGAGTGTAGGGTGCTACATACAGCAGTTAATTTTTTTTTTAGTAACCAATCAAGTATGTAGGGAGTTGATTTTGTGTAATTTTATCAACTACTCTCAATGACTTCATTTGTTCTTTGTTTTCTTGCAGACCATTCCAACATGGAGCTGAACTTGTGCATTCATTGTCAACTATTCTCAATAATTATCCTGAGGATCATCATGCTATCCCAGCAAGCTTTGCCTTGAAGGGGCTCTGTGCTTTGTGTGAGGCTGAAGTAGTGGACATTCGGTCTACTTGGAATCTGCTGGCACCTAAGCTGCAACAGGATCAAAGGTTGGTACTCGGTGGCGTAGACTGGTTTTGGCCTGGGGGGGGTTGCGAGGGGTACAAAAATTGAGAATGCGCAGCTAACTATTCAAATGAAAACTACTGTACATTTTTAGTATTTTTGAGTGGAGTTGATAGCTTACTATAGTTAAGATGCTTGTCTTCTAATCCCAAGGTCCTGGGTCCAGTTCCTGTAACAGCAGGACTTTCTCTCATGACAAAATCAACTCCACTCCCTAAGCCTCAATAAGAGAATTAGTTTGTATATAGTATCGTTACATGTAAGTGGCAAGTGTACTAAATGAAGGCAGAATACAGAACTTTTATTGGTCTTGTGAACGCAAAGGTACAGTACAAGAAATTACTTCGTTGTTGGCAAATCATATTAAAAATCACTACAGAATACAGTACAAATATTAAAAACTGTATATTAAAGAAAAAAACAAAATATTAAGCAAAGATAAAAAAAAGTCAAAACATTAATGTTAGTTACTTTAAACATTAAAAATATTAAGTTAATTATGAGTTGAAATAATACTGTAAATACAGTAGTTTATTGCACTCAGTTATGAGTAGAAAAACAAGCATTTAAATCAGTTACTATTACATTGTTCAGGTTTGGAAAAAATTATTTTATTTGAAAATACTACCGTAGTTCCCCTGGTATAATTCCACCCCCCACCCCCATAAATGCGAAATTGGCCCGATTATAGGGGGTGGGATTGTACCCGGGGATTCCCGTAGGCATGAACAGAACGAAAATGACGATAGTTTTGCAAGGTGACAGAAGCATTAGAACAGCTGAAAACTATATTCTGGTGAAGAAATCAGAGTTTACTCGAACATCAAAGAGAAGAGAACACCCTAATTAGTAGGCCTAGCACCTAGCTAGAGAGGCCATATCTTGGTGTTACCTTGAGCTAGGCCAGCCTTTGCCTAAACTTTCTTGACGTCGTAGGTTGTTTTTTGCCCAGCAACAACCAATTCAACCAATCACCCATCGCATGTGAAGACTTGTAATGCATGATGTAACAAGTTATTTTTAGCAGCGAGAGTCTGTGTGGAACATGTGAGTCTTCATGCTGTGAATTAACAATCCGATCAGCCCACTGGGCGGGTCTCTTTAGGGACGAACCGTGGTGTTTATTTTTAGCCGCAGCTGTGGAGCATGCCAGTCTTTACGCTGTGAATTAACAATCCGATCAGCCAACTGGGCGTGTCTCTTAAGGGACGGACTGCGGTGTTGCCTATTTTTAGCCGCAGTTAGTGAGCTTGTTTATTTTAGCGACAGAAACAAGAAGAATAGATTGGGCTTTGTATTCAACTTTACGGCAGACAAGGCCCCATAAAAAAATGATTAGTTTATCATCCTATCAAGACCAAAAAACTGATGAGGGAGGGAGGTTTTTGGGGTTTTTTTTTTTTTTTTTTTTTTTTTTTTTGGGGGGGGGGTGTGAAGTGTCCCATCGCTGTTCGCCAGTGTGATTGGTTTAAAAACACAAAAGTCAAGAATAAAGTGAAGTCGGATTAACAAGAACACATGTACTTTTATTAAATAT